AATAGCAATTCCTTTTCTGGAATCAATAATAGCCCAAAACACATGCAGGTGCATAATGGTGTATGTGCTAGGATGTTAACTGAGATTCTTTATAACAATAAAGAGCTGAAAGCAACAGACAGGTTGAAATACAGTAAATCCACACTATGGGTTATTACCTGTGATTAAAAAGATGACACAGACTACATGACACAGGTTTAAGACACAGTTAAGTGACAAAAGAGCAAGTCTCAGAAAAGTACATATAGTATACGCCAATTTATAAATTTTTAATTACATATGCGGGGGTGTGGGTGTGTGCCTATTGTAGAATGATACATATCAAATTGTTGATGACTATTACCTCTCATGAGGAGAGTACACGAAGAAGAACATGGAGAGAAGAACTTTGATTTTTCTTTCTCTATATTTCTACACTGAGGTATAATGACAAGCATGTATTACATATAGATTGCACACTTTTCTAAAATGAGAATAAAAACTGTATTAGTCATCTATTGCTACATAGAAAATTACCACAAACTGAACAGCTTTAAACAACACACATATATATTTTTTCTCAGAGTTTCTGTGGGTCAGAAGCACAGGCACAGCTGAGCTGGGTCCTCTCCTTAGGGCCACACAAGGTGCAACCATGGTTTGACCAGAGCTGGGTTCTCATCTGGAGGGTCAACTAGGGAAGGATCTATGGTTGTCAGCAGCTTTCAGTACCTTACGGATTAGGAATCATGGCAGCTCACTTCTTCGAAGCCAGAAAGGAAATGACAGCAAGACTCTAGAACCAGTGGGCTAGCAGGACAGAGTCTTACATATCGTAATGTAATCACGGAAGTGATATCCCATCACCAGTGCCGTATCCTATTAGTTAGCAGCAAGTCACAGGTCCTACCCACACTCAAGGGGAAGGGGTTATACAAAACTGAACACCCAGAAGAGGATCATGGGGCCACTGAAAGCCTGCCTACCACAAAGATAATTAAGGTCTTTACCAGATCTCAATGGAGGGCTTCTGAAAGATGACTAGAAAGTGATATAAATGGACATGGTTATAGAGCTAAATGAAATTTATAAAGGATGTACAGGATGAGATCTAAGTCTATGGTCTCATTAGTAACAGTTTACCTTTTGTAAAAGCATGCTCCAAATTCAAATATAACTCAAATATTTCACTGTCAAGAAAAATAAGATCTTTCCTGTAAAAATACAATAATGGATCTCTAATAAAATAGCAATGAATTTGGAAAGTGGTTTTTCTAAAAGAAAACATCGCTCATAATATAAACTTAAACCAAGAAATATGAAAAAGGAAAGCAAAGAATAAAACTGGAATGGAACTAGCTACACGTTGAAGCTGATGTGGAACGCTGTTTGCTAGTGTATAATGTGTATTTGGTGGGAAAAGGAAAGCATGATAATAAGCCTGATAGAATGTAACCTCATAACATTTCTAAGGTATTTAGAACCAGGCTACATAGCATGTCCTTCCCACGGGAAGAATAAAGGTAAAGGAAAGGTGCCATCTCTACTGAATAGGGAGTCCTAACACAGAGGCTTCAAAAGGACTCTGCATCTTTAATAATATAAAAAGGCTAGGACACAAACGGCATAATCTAAAATGCCATTAGAAATGCTTCACATACAAAAAGGTCTAAGTAAAGCAGGATTTTATAAAGTGATCAAAAAAGAAACACTAAGGGGGAAAATCTTTTAAGATTAAAGGGGTTTTTCAAAGGACAAGTTGAAGTGGTTGTAAAATTTATGAGGCAGCATTAAACTTCAGTTCTAAGTAACAATAAATTATTCACTATAAAAATATACATGTGTCAAGTATTATAAGCCTCTTAAACTTTTTAAAACAATTTCTTGCAGAACTGATTAGATGTATTAGGTCAACACCAGAAGATATAACTTTTTCATTAGCACAGTATGACCACTCGGAGTAAAGGAGCGATGCTGGAACTAGGAAGACAGACCATCATTAGGCTTCACCACTTCTGTTCTGATCTCACACATCATGTATTTGCCCTTAAAAGCTGTTTTATTGCCTTTAGCTAAAGTAAATGTTAGTTTTAGTTTCTAAATGCCTTTATGTATATAAAATTTTCAAGTATCTGTTAATTAATGTACATACAGACTAAAATTTTAAATCAAATCGAGAAACCTATAAGAAAAGGTACACTGCGCTGTTTTGTTTTTGCAGCTCTAATTGTAAGGTGTTAGCCTTACTGATGTTCCTACACTTCACCAGAAAGATATTTATGTCTTTTCCTGTTCCTTCATCACCTTTATATTCCTCATGGTGTGTGCAAAGGCATCTCTATATCCTATATCCATACTTCTCTTAACTTACCCTAAAATTTACCCTTCCCTCCACTTTTCCTAAAAGGTTTTTAAGCAATCCTTGTAGGCCATTCTCTGCCACAACATACCTATCTCAAAGGGTTTGTCCTGATTACATTAAATACATGGCAGTGCCTGACACAGCCCAGTCCTTCAATCACGCACACACTCACCAAACACCAATGCTTATGGAGCTCCTAAATTTCCTGCTCAGTGCTAGGCACTGGAAATACAGTGCAAACAGGAAAAACACAGTTCCTGCTCATGAAGTTTACAATCTAGCAAAGAGGACAGAAACAGAACCTTTGCACACGTGACGAGTGCAACAAAGAGTAACTTTGGTGTAAATAACAGGGTCACCAAAACAGACCTGGGCTGTCAAGTAAGGCTTTTATGAAGTTGAGAGATCTGAAGAAAGACTAGGACCAAAGGATTGTCTGCTTTTCCCATTAATTACTTATTATATAACTGATAAATAATGCCTCATACTCAAGTAATTTGCATTAAAATGTCATCTTATAGCTGAGCAACAAAGAGAAATAAGTTACTGGTTAAACTTGTGGAGATTTTACTATAGTTCCATTTTTCCAGAAAAATCACTAATATTTGAAGAATATTCTGTGTTTTCTCAAACTTGATCCTGTTATGAGGAAGAAAAAGCCCATTCACCTGGACTCACTGAAGATCTTGTCTATTTCGTATTTTGAATCCCACTCTTACACACACCTCAAATCTTCGTGAATACTTCCACAACTACACATAACTACTTTATTGGAATTATCCATGTAGTTGTCTTATCTCTCTTCCCTATTCATCTAAAACAATGGTTACAGGTCAAATGTCTACAGGACTTAAACAAGTAGCAAATGAGTGATTATGCTTCCAGATACAAGGATATTCTTCACATCTTCAAATAGTCTCTCCTCTCCTGAATCATATGATCCCCCTTCACTGATCTTTCTTCTTTCTACTTTTGACATAATATAAAAATGGGAAAACAAATACTTCATTTCCTCTTAAACCTACTTAAGAAAAACAAAAACTCAATAATAGATGCAACTGACCTCAAGCTCACTGTCAGGATGAGCAGGGAGGAGTGAAGGCATGCTCATTAGGCAGGTACCAAGTATTATTAGCGCCAACCTACATCTGTCTTCTAGAAAGATTGCTAGGTCTCCACCACTTTTGAAAATAAGCCAGAAACTTAAGTTTTTATATGAAATTCTCATTTCAACTCATTCAAAAATCTTTAAAGACATGATGTAAGTCAAACAAAAATCTATACACATGATCCATTCCATCCAGGAAGATCAGCAATTTTCAACCTCTGGTCTAAGCTCCAAGACACAGGAAACTACCTTTATGCTGTGAACTCCAGATTCATCACACCCAGAAAGGAGCCCAGCATTTAGGTGGACACCCAACAAATGTTTTGGCAAACACCTGATGGATTTTGCAGCTAAACCAAGGACTGTATTTTTCTTTGTATACAGACCACAATCTCTTTACACTTCCACTGACCTGCTATAAAGCTAACGAAAATTCCACAATTACATCTCTTCTACTTTGAAATCTCCTATGAATGCAAAAATAAGCATTTTACATCACCTCCTACTGACTCATCTATTCACTTCTTTTTACTCTTCTGAATGCGTCCTTAATTATATCGCCTCTTTCCTTTTTGTCTCTCCATATTAATTTGTTTCCCCTTTCTAATAAAAAAAAATTTCATATGGACTGGATCTCTTGCTTTGTGTTCGTTCATCTGTTCTTTTCCACCATAATACCTGAAGTCTGAAAAACATATAACCAGGCTACATCAACTATGAAGACATTTCAAATTACTAATAACATTTCTGTATCTGATTCAGGAATAAACCAAAAAAACATATAGTAGAAAAGAAAGAGTATATTGTTAACCAAATCAAATTCCAAATATGAAAATTACCAAGAGCATAGTGAGGAGTGAAGGCTGAAGCATAATACATGCCAAATGACGCTGTCCAATATTTTCACGTTTCGGGGAACAATGCCAAAGGTAAAACTCAAAACCTGACAAACATCCAATTTAAATCTATCCCTCCTAAAGGCCAAAAGCTATACTACAGCAATTATCATCTTTTTGTGGATTTCAAAAACTTATAAGTTTACTTTTATTTACACTAAAAATCCTATTTAAGCGTAGTGCTCTAATGAAAGAAAACACAGTTTAATGAGGTTAGTGTTTAGTTTATTAAATCAAAACCAATATTGTTCAGTGAGGGATAAAGGAGAGAAATTCAAGCGTAAGTTTCAAGATGGATATGAAGATATTATTTCTGTTAAATCATTGGTAATATTCTTAATTCACGTTTGTCATAAAGAAAAACAGAGGACTGTGTTATGTAGATTCTCAAACTCCACTTTCCAAGCAATAGTGTGTGTGTATATGTGTGTGTGTGTGTGTGTGTGTGCGCGCGCATACATATTAAACAAAAAAACAAACCTCATTTTAACCACCTAACATCACTTCACAGCCCTCAACTTTAACAAAAATATAAATTAAACCAACTACTTACCACACAAAAAACAACAACAACAACAAGAAAAAATGAAATGTATAAACCAGTTTCAAAGAGGCTATGATGAAACCCATTTGAAATCCCATTTTCAGAGCATACCTGTGGACATCAGTTGGTGACTGTACCAAAGAGTCATTGTCTCCAGAAGAAAGCTTCCATGATTCATTTAATTTGTGTTCGCTTGTCCCCAGCTCACCCATTACCCAGTCTGGTAATCCTTCTGGGCTTGAAACTTTTGCTCGTGCTGGATTTGGTTCATCAAAATAGATGGACTGATTTTTTAAAATTAGAAAAATTATTCTTTCAAAATGTACTATAATGAAAAATTAGTTAAGATCTCTATCAAATGTCAAGTTTAGTAACAACCTTTCAAGTACTCAACTTAAATTCAATTACATAAAAATATTTAAAAATGTATATTAAATGTACAATGAATTATGAAATATTAAAACACATAAAAGGGACAACATATTTACATTTTAGTTGTGCTCTGCTGTATAGGAAATATGATAAACAATAAAATTACACAACAGGTAAATTTGATAATTATTTGTATTAAAAAGGAACGTTAGCTTTATGAAAAGATAAATGGAAAGTTCTTTTTAAATCATGTGCTCTTTTATTTCTTTCTGTGATCATTAACTACTCTGCACTCTCTCAAAAAGAAATCAGTGGACAGAGAAACCACAATCAATGAAAATCAGAAATAAAAATTAGGAAGTCCTCAATAAGATGGAAACAATAGAGTTGAAGACCTGGGGTTTAGTTCTGGCCACGCCACAAACTAGCTAGAAAATCCAAGGCAGTTCTCTAGGCCTTCTCATGATTATTATTTATAAAATAAAGCCGTTTCCTGTGATTCTATAAAATTGAGTGTAAATGAGAAAACATAATACAATATACTCGTATCTTAACATCTGAATGTGTTTCAGAAAATGTTCTATCTTTAGTCATTAAAAAGAATGACACTGGCCCTTTTATTTCTCTTCAAGTGAGCCAGGCTTCATGACACATTTGTGAAGAAAATCTGCATTAATTGGATACTTCTGCAACAATTCTCCCAATCCTACATGAAAATCTTCAAGGGGCTGTTCTCCAATGAGGGGTAACACATGACCCTCTATCCCAGATCAGACATGCATAACAATTCCTTTTTAAATGACATAGTCACTCCAATATTTAATCAAATATCTAGTCAAGTAACTACTATCCCAAAGACTACCGATTTTAAGCAAAATGTATGGCTCTACTTTAACACACAATTGGTAACAGTATTAAAACTATTCGCTTTCTGACATGGGTATCGGAAGTTATGGCCTAGCATGCCTCCTGAATGAATTTTGGCTCAAGTTAACTGATAAAATACAGAAAAATCTTAAAATACATTACATAAGAATTCTGCAGTTCATTTTTAAAAAAATACATAGATATCCTGACAGCAAGTAAAACATCTAGTACTCCAGTCAGATTTCTCAAGTATTCAAACGCTACATAAACCAAGACATATTTCATGGTGACAAGGACTAAGACAGTGACAATTCATCATCCAAGCATAACTATAACTACCTTTGTAACAAACCTGATTTTGAAAATGGAATTAAATAAAATATGGGAATCACTCCTAAACTTCAACTTACTGTTGTCATTTTATTCCAATAGAAAGGAACTTTAGATGTCATTTAATCCAACCTCTCATAAATTTTTAAATATGAAAGTTTAATAACTAGAATTTACTGACATACATAAAATATTATTATTAAAAACCAGTGAAAATTAGTGGACAATGAAGGCTCAATCTTTAAAAAGTCACTTTAAGTTTTTTAGAAATATCGTAGAATACTGTGTGATGACTACATCAGTAAGTATAGTCCTGTTACAGGCCAATATCTGATTTCCATTCAAGGTAGAAAAATTTGAATCAGAGAGAAAAAACACATTAGTTTTAACTAATATATGATTTAGAACTTGTACTTTACTAATATGACTATTCCTCAAAGGGATGATAAATTGACACTTTTAAAGAAACTAAACTAATACAACCTTTGGTCAATGACACCTACCATGTATGAAGGTAGAGTTTTTAGTGTCCCTGGTTCAGGTCGGTGTATAAAGGGGCCTTCAATCACTCCTCGCTTAAGCATGTGCAGTAACAGTTTTGCATACAGGTTCCGATTCTTCCTGCCCATTATTCCTACACCTGTTCCTGAAGGCTCACACAGTTTTTTAATCCAAAGTGCACACCTCTGCCGTTCTAGAAACATATAAGAAGTGATACAGACTTGATTTCTCAGTGAATAAACATTAAAGACCTATGTAAATCTGCTTTTGTCTAGAGCAGAGGTCGGCAAACTTATTCCATAAAGGGCCATACAGTAAACATTTTAGGCTCTGCAGGCCATGTGATCTCTGGCACAGCAACTCAACTCTGCCATCATAGCATGAAGTCACCACACGCCGCAAGTAAACAAATGGGCATGGCTGTTTTCTAATAAAACTTTACCAAAAAGGCAGCAGACTAGATTTGTCCCAGAGGCTACAGCTTGCCAACTCCTGTCTAGAGGTTATCAGTTAATTAGTGATCAGGCAAGACAAATGCAAACAAGTATTTTCTTAGAAATAAAATCTCTGGACAACTGTCAAATTTCTGAGATAAAGCTTGCTGTAAAAACATCTCTAAAATAATTTTAATCATGTTGAAAACATCTTTCTATAATTCTCCTTATTCAAACTGAAAAGGATAAAATGCAGTCTTATTTAAGCATTTTAAACTTAATCTAAAATTAAATCTCAAATGTTTTGTTTATTAAAGCTGATAATTTTCAGGGATTTGTAGTTGATTTATTTAGGGTTCTCTTTTAATCTCTCTAGAAGTAATTGAGGAAAAATTTACATGTGATTTCATAAATTATCCCTTTAAAAACTACCTGAAAAATATAGCACAGTTTAATCCACATATAATTACTTATTGACTATCTTATCTTGCCATGACACAGAATTGTTTTTGGGCTTGTGAAAACTATTTTGACACTAATCTTTTATCAGTCTAACTCAATTTGAGGATTATATATCTAACACAAATCATAAGCCTTCTTTAATCTCTTAGTTCCTAAAGGTCATATTCATTTATTGTTTTACCTACAAAAATCTCTGGGGACGATTTACTACTTTGTTCATCCCAGATTTATCACTACAGGTATGTGAGCTGGCCTCTAAAAAAACTTTTGTATTTTTAGCTTTGAAAATGATATAATCAGAAAGCAAACATCACGAAATATTGCGTATACCGTATTTGCCGGCGTATAAGACGACTGGGCGTGTAAGACGACCCCCTAACATTTCCACTCAAAATACAGAGTTTGTTATATACTCGCCGTATAAGACTACCCCCTCTTCCGCACACCTTCCA